TGGGGCCGTGAATACTCACAAGTTTGCTGATGAATATCCAAGAACTTGATGATGTTTGAAGCGCTAAACGTCTGCCCTAACCTTCCAATACAGTCTGAAATCCAATAATTAGATCACCTATTGGGTCTCGATAAAGATAAAGTCAAATTATATCTTATGTAATGCCAATGAGTTTTTAAGAATTAAAGTTGATACTTATATTATTTGCTCTAAAAATAGTCCAGAAATAATACATTTTAAAAATCAAAGTCCTTTGAACATAAGGCTGCCATTTGGACATAATGTAAATTCTGTTTCTGGAATTTTTGGTCTCACAAATCACTATCAAAAGGAAACTTCCATAAGTCATTTTGTGTCCAAATTTTTATACCATCAATAATAATGAGTTAAACATAAATTTCCCGAATATCAAAAATTTTGGATGGGTTTAAGGCACTCATCATTACCCTACCACTTTGAGTGATACAGTCCCCAAGACAGATTGCACACTCTTCGAGTGACGGCCATTTGGGGGGTCTAAACTCATCATTTTTTAGTGATTTTAACTTTATTTTAAAGCTAACATATAAGGCTAACTTCCAGAAAAAGAATCACCCATTTTCATTGAGTTTTTAAGGAGATAAGACCGTTTTAAAATGCATGCAAGATTCTGTCAGCAATGCTCTTTTTGCACCATAATCTTGTATCAATAACTTGAAGGCTCAAAACTTAATATTTTCGAGTGAGACCAGATGCATTAGAACGATAACTCATTAAAAAAAGTTCTAGGAGAAAGATAGACCATTTTGGAGGAATAACCAGAGAGATATGGTCGTCCAAAGTAGGTTTTACCTACTGTCAAGTGTGTTGTTGCACACTTATTTTGTTCTAAACATTTGAAGGTTCAAAACTTACTCTTTTTATGTGATTCCAGTGGGGGATAGAACCCTAACTCACTGAACTTCATTTAAAAAAAATAGCATTTGGAATATTATTTTGGGAGAAATGGGCGACATAACTACTAGGTAGTAATCTGTCAGCTCCAAACAGCCCCTTTTTTGGTCAAAAACCCACATGCATGCACTTTTACCAACTTTTCTTGAGTTCTAATGTTTGTAGATCATAGATTATCATCATTTTGAGGACATTTTTATGTCATTGATGTATAATCTCTCATCTTAGATTCTCCAGAAAGTTTGTTTATAAAAAAAGGAGAAAGAAAAAAGTGTAGAAGATGAGAAATAATGAAAAAAATAAGGATAATGTAACTAGTCCATTACCTTTGCTTGCTACTTCTTGAAGTGTTGAAGGTTCTTCAAGATGATGGAAGTTGAGGGGTTTTGGAGGGTGATTTCGGTTGGAGTGGAAGAGGAAATGAAGATTTCAAAAGAAATGAGGTTTTTATATGTGTTTTAAATGAATAAAAGGGCCGACCTTTTAAGGCCCAAGTTCATAACAATAAAATTTTTATTTTTCTTTTAAACAAAATAAAGCCCATTTAAATTATAACAAAAGTACATTTTATCAAATATTGATAAAAATATCATTATTAAATCAAAGTTCCACATTTTTGGTAAAATTATTTGGACATTCAAATGAAACTTTTATATTTTACTTTGGACTTTATAATATCAACTTTATTATATTTGGAGCATTTTTTTCTAATATATTTGGCATTACATAAGTTAACTTTACGAGTTACCCATCGAAACAAGGTTTTTTGAACTATATTTTGGGAACTAAGCCAGATGAATTCTAATCAACATGACTAGATCCTAATAAAATATAATTCTAAATATAGAAACCCTATAAAGGTGCTAACCTGACGCTCCAAAAATGATGGATGTCACAGTCTCCCCATGCCGGAAGAATTTCGTCCCGAAATTTTATTTGTCAGATCCTAGTTTAAGACTCGTTTGAGAACAAGTGGGGATACTTGCTTTTCATAAAATATTCTCTTTCCCACATGCACTCTGGTCCATGCCTCGAAGTCCAATGAACTTTTACAATTGGGATCCTGCTACGCCTCAACTGCTTGACTTCTCTATTCAAGATTTCTATTGGTTTTTCTACGAAGCGCAGATGATCATTAATTTGTACATCTTCCAATGGCATGACCAGTGTTTCATCAGTTAAGCACTTTTTGAGGTTTGATACATGAAATGTATCATGAATATCGCTTAACTCTTGTGGCAAATTTAACTTATATGCCACTGGTCCAATTCTCTCAGATACTTCAAATGGACCAATATATCGGGGACCCAATTTACCTCTTTTCCCAAAACGCATTACTCCTTTCCATGGTGAGACTTTTAAGAGTACTTTATCTCCTTTTTGAAACTCTAATGGTCTCCTCCGATTATCAACATAACTTTTCTGGCGATCTCTTGCAGCCTTGAGTCGATCCTTGATAATTACAATCTTGTCAGTAGTATCTTGGATAACATCAGGTCTAGTTAACTGCCGATCGCCAATTTCTAGCCAACTGAGTGGAGATCTGCACTTGCGTCCATATAATGCTTCATAAGGCGCACACTGAATACTAGCATGATAGCTGTTATTGTACGCAAATTCAACTAACGAAAGGTGCGTATCCCAGCTTCCACCAAAATCTATGGCGCATGCGCGCAACATGTCTTCAAGTGTCTGGATTGTACTTTCCGTCTGTCCATCCGTTTGAGGGTGGTATGAAGTACTTAGATCTAGACGTGTACCCAACCCTCCTTGAAGTGATTGCCAAAATCTTGATGTAAATCGACTATCCTTATCCGAGATAATGGAGATAGGTACTCCATGCCAAGTAATGATTTCATTTATGTAAATCTGAGCCAGCTTCTCCATCTTATAATATTCTCGGATCGGTAGAAAATGAGCAGATTTCATCAGTCAATCTATAATCACCCAAATTGTATCATGCCATTTCCCAGTTCTGGGAAACTTTGTGATGAAATCCATTAGATATTTGTTCCCACTTCCATTGGGAAATTTTGGGTTGTTGAAGTAGGCCGGATGGTTTTTGGTGTTCGGCCTTGACCATTGCATAGGTTAAACACTTATTCACATGCAAAGCAATGTCTTTCTTCATTCCAGGCCACCAATAGTGTTCCCTCAAATCCTTATACATCTTATCTGCTCCCGGGTGGATTGAATATTTTGATCGATGGGCTTCATCCAAAATTATGGATTTAAGATTGCCAATCTTAGGTATCCAAACCTTGTATCCAAAATAATACACTCCATCTGATTTCAATTGAAACTTAGTCTCTATGTGGTGTAGGGTCTCATTCTTCAAATTCTCCTTCTTTAATTCTTCCTTTTGATCCTTGAGAATTTGTGCCTTCAGACTTGTGTTTACTATTGGTCCTAATGCCCTCACCCTTGTTGGTTTCACTCTTTCCTTCCTACTTAGAGCATCAACTACCACATTTGCTTTGCCGGGATGGT